TTTGTTGGCCGGAAGGTCCGGAAGGTCCGGAAGGTCACGTGACTGCGCCGTCGATTATTGGTAACGCTAGGGCTTTTTTTAGTATAGGCCTGATTTTGCCAATTTATTATTATCCATTTTCGGAAACGAGAAAAATAACAAGAATGGCATTATAAATCGATTAAATCTAGTTTCAATCAATTAATTCAATGTCACAAGCTTGGAACATTCGGATGATGATGTCCTCGTTGAAGTTTTCCAGTAGTAAAACGAAGTAACGAACTTTGTACGAAAGTTTTGCCAACGGTCGAACGAAATAACGGACATTATATTAAGTATTATTGCTTGTTAAAAGTTTTGCCAGCGGTCGAACGAAGTAACGGACATTGTATTGCTTGTTAAAAGTTTTGCCAGCGGTCGAACGAAGTAACGGACATTGTATTAAAAATTTTGCCAGCGGTTGAACGAAGTAATGAACGTTGTTGTAAGCTTTGTTGTTCTATAAAACTTTTTCCACTAGCTGAATGAATGACGAACGCTGTTGTAGCCTTCATATTTTGCAAAAGGTTTATAACCAATCATTGTTAAGAATCGTGTGAAATACAGTCAAACCTTCAGGTTGGAAAATAAAATTTTGGCCATTATAAAAAATTGCGATTATATAAAGGCCAAATTTTGCTTTATAATAGTAGAACGAAAACATAATGTGATTATAGCAAGGTTGTGACTATATCAAGAATGACTATAACAAGGTCTGGTTGTATATTTTCTTTAATTTTTCGGTAATTGATTTTGTTTCTGGACGAACATTAGGATCATTGTTCCAGCATTTTGAGTAAAGATCCACATACTGAGATGGTGTGCCTTCAATCGGATTTTCTCTATTTCCTTTTAAAATATGAAGAATAATCAAAATTTTGGGCTCATTATAGAATGGCAGTCTCCCACTAGATATTTCCCAAAGAATTACACCAAAACTGTAAACATCCGACTTCTTGTCACACACATAACTAGGGTTGTTGAGATGTTGAGGATCAATATATTCCGGCATACCATAATTCGAGATTAAAGTTTTTGAGATCTCATTTGCTCTTTTAGATAGTCCGAAATCACAGATTTTTGGTTGACCTTTATGAATTAAAATATTCTTAGAATGCTATAATAGAAGTAATTATCAATATTAGTGAATTAAAATTTATAAACACGTAAAATAAAATATACATACAAGGTCTCTGTGAATTATATTATTTTCATGTAGATATTGAATGCCAAATGCAATTTCCTTGGCCATAAATAATTTGTCTGACCATTTTAAATGTATAACATTCGCTTTCAGGTATTCTCTTAAGTTTCCATTGTCAGCATATTGTAGTACCATATAGCGATTTTCATGGTTATCTTTAGTAATTCCATAGAATTTAATAATATTTTTATGTTTGATATCTTTCATTAATTTTACTTCGTTGTCGAAAACTTCACAGTTGTTTGACTTTTTACTACACTTTAAAACACACTTTATGTCTCCATATTTATATCTGCAAATCATTCCAAAACCTCCTTCTGCAATTTTTTCAGGATCGCCAAAACGGTCGAAATCAATGAAAATTTCCGACATATTTGTATCTGGATATTAGTAAACAATCAAGAAGGTAGTGTGAGTTAATCTGATGGCTAACGAAGGTCAACTTTAATTAATAGAAAATTGGGTTATAGCGAGAATTTTTATAATGTCAATAATAAAATGTGCCTTGCAATCATTGCACGAAATTAGTGTGCACAAAGTTCTCATGAAAACTATTAATAATTTGTGAACAGTTATAATATTACTGTATATTCATTACAAACTTAGAGGGCTCATGCATTTACATGACATCACCTAGATGATAATATTATGTAAATCTTGAGCAAATTGAATTAATTTATAGCATAGATAGAAGAAAATTAAAGATAGGGATGTTTATAACCGATGGAAAGCGATGAATACTATAAAGATTATCGAATATCCCGCAGTGCTTCTGAATTGCACGAATAATTTAATTGAGTCGATGATTTTCGTAATAATTTAGATAGGTCATGTTTTTTTTTTCCTAATTTTTTTGAGTCCCATGAGTCGCAAAAACATTGATATTGACCACCTTATGTTCGTCATATTTTAAGAAACTTATTTATAAAGGGAAATATATGATTAATTAAAATGAGTTCCACGAAATATGACGAAGTTGAAGTGACTGCCACATTGTAATCACAGTTCAAAAAAAAAAACATTAAGATATTCGATCCAATTAAATCGAAAGGGCAATAAAAAATTTTTATGGAAATTGGCCGCTCGATTATCGAAAAACATTGTTGACGGTAAAAAAAAAAAATAGAATCCAATAATATATTTGGCCAATATATAATTTCGAATTGATCTGCCACAATAATTACCTGTAGAAGTACCTAGGAATTTAAGTATATTTGGATGATTTGTTTTAGATAATCTATGTATATTCCAAAATAATACGTGGTTAATGAGCTGTTAGGATAATTAAAGTCATTAAATCATCTTGTACTTACGAGTTGCTGTAGAATTTTACTATCTTGATTGATCAATTCTTTAGATATATGTTTCACGCTAGGATCTTTCATTAAAATTTCATAGC